CACCCAGGCAATGTAGCGGCAGTTAAAAGTTCAGATGGTTGCAGGATAGATGAATTTTTATGTGACGGGAGTTATAAATTTTTAGGTTCCCTCTGTACGTCCTTCAAACCGTACCACATTCGTGTGACTGCTATCCTCGTTTAAAGTCTCGCTCTTCTTGTGTGGGTATCTAAAAAAGTGGTGTCTCTAGGTTGGTTCCGTCGTCAGAGCTGGGCTCTTTCCAGGAAGATAGATGCCGTTTTTAAAGATGGGTTCAATTTAGGGTCTGGAAGTACAATATTTTTGGGGGGCGCGATTTTTTGAATTGGGTTTTACAAGAGATATAAATAGTGGTCGGATCCATTGAACCACAATAACCACATTACGTAAACGACCGCCATCTGCTGTAGTCGATTTGTCTGCAGATAACTTTTTTTTATGACTATTTTTGAATCATTGTATAAAATCAAAGAAAGCATTCATTTGCTAGACCTCGGATCTTGGTGTCGGGCGTCCTATCGAACGTTGATAGCAGCCCAGTACTTCGTCCGTTTCAGATGTCCGTGCAGTAAAGGAATGCGCCTGCGCCAGTAGCGCACCATTTCAACATACTTGAGGGTTTCAGCTAGGATCTAATACGTTTCTATTAATATGATATCTATATACATTGTAATGTTTAATGATTATACATGGTAATTACACTTGGTTTAATTGCATATATTTTTGGAATGCATTCTTAATAATTTGTACTTAATGTGCATGAGCAATTGTTTTACCCATTTGCACGCCCATGAACATTTTAAACGTGTAAATAAAACCATTATAAGCTCATTAACTATTGTCTAGGCGATCCTTTCAAACCCTTATTGCTGTGGAGCGTACTTTTCCTATTTGTCCGCTTTTAAATACTGTTTTCAAAAGGAAATTGCGTTGCGGCTCTTTAAAATTTTTCGCTGCATGCACATTCCTTTACTGCACCGACATCTGAAACGGACTTTAGTTGAGCAACCCCTTAGTTTACTTTTTAAATAACGTAAACATATTTTTTTGTATTTTGTATTCCAAACATACCGGTTCCTTTAGAGTATTGAAAAGTTTGATTCTTGCCATCAAAATATTAAGAAAACCATTTAAGAATCGGTCGTACATTTCACTATGTATGTATTTTATGTGTGGATCGATCTAGAAGGAATTTTTAAAAGCTTTAATTTTTGACGCTTTCGTTTTTGGTACGCCGTGTCGGCTGGAAAAACCGCCGATCCCTCCAAGAATTAGCCGAACTTTATAAAAGATGAAGTCGCTGTTTAGGGGGGTCTCTTTTTTGCCTTTAGTGTTTTAACCGAAACGTAACATCTTTTAGCCTTTGGGTTTTGTAACCGAAAAGTATAATACCGTAATTTTTAGATTTTCCGTAAATTTTTGCTTTTACATTAAGTTTACCGCACTGGATCTATAGGTTTTGCTTTTTCTTGCACAGTTATTTCTACCCTTTAATTGCAGGGTAAGCTTGTTGCTATTATCCGTTTAATTATAAGGGGGGATATTGTTTCGCTTTCCTGCATTCACCAGTAGCCGGCCGCCACTTGCCCTTTACATTTCCTAGAGCGTCTGATCCGCCAAACCATTCCTACCTTGACCTTGACCAGGAACAAGGTTACAACATTCCTTGGTGGCGCCCGAGTTGACCGTTCCGCCGTTGTAACCGCTGCCGTAGGATTTATTGAATTGCAATTCAATTTTTATCTTTCTTAATAAAACTTTATTTTTTTTGTTAATTTTCCGTCTAATGTTAAAGCTCACCGATTGCGTGCGAACTACCTAAGTTCGTCGCAGCATTCGCCGGGTCTTTAATAAAAAAATCCATAAAAATGCAAAAGATAAAGATGGACGACTAGACACTAGAGAAACTTGTAAATAATTACAAAAGAATAAGAACGTTACGTGCAAAATCATTTATTTCGTGGCATTGTTCAATTTTTCTCCAATTCTTCCATTTATTCAAAGCTTTTGGATCCTTCAGATTTTTCTGATCCATTCTCGGGATGCTCAGACTCTTTGGATTGTCAAATTCTTAATTTACATTTTTTTTATTCTTTAGATTCTTCCGTTTCTTCGAATTATTCCGATTCTTAAAATTGTTTTTCGTACCCCTAAGAATTCTCAAGTTTCTTTAAATTCTTCATATTTTTTATTGTTACTTATTCTCAATTTGTTTAGTTCTTCGAAATCTTCCGATTTTCCAAAGTCTTCAGATTCTTTTCTTGGGATTTTTAAGTCATTCAGAATATTTCAACTTAAATTCTATAAAATCTTCCAACTCTTCGCTTTGAATGGTTTCTTGTGCTTGCAATTCAACCGATTTATTTTGTTTCGCCAACTTTTTCGAATAAGCATACCAGATTGTATTTTTTCTGCTTGCCAGGATTCTTTACCATCGAATTATTCTACTTCCTCTTTCGGTTCGGTATATATTCACCATGCTCCTAATATAATTATAATTGCGTTAGATTCTTTTAGATTGCAAATTCTTCCAATTCTGTGGATTCTTCAAATGATTATGATTTATGCAATTTTTGTTACTTTCTTTAGATTCCGCTTACTTCGGATGGTTTTTATCTTCCACCAAACCAATTTAGATTTTTCTGATCCGAGGAGAAAGCACTAAATTGCGGCATGGGTTCAATTCGCCGTCCTGCCAAAACATCGTTGAGGTCGACTTAGACTCGAATTAATCCGTAAGCGTAATGATCCTCGAATGAAGCTATTCCGGTGATGCAATTAAGGCACTTTTATATAATCGCGTTAGATATCTTGCAACTTCTTAATGGTCAATACCATCGGTGTCTCATTACGGCGTTTTTTCTATTTTGCGATTTATTCAAATATTGGATTCCTCTAATCCTAATCCATGAGATCTTTTACATTCTTATGAGTTATGATCCTCCGCATTTTTCAGTTTCTTCGAAATACCCCAATTTTTTTGATTCCGTTCCTTCGAATTCGTTTCATTTCTTTCTTCGTATTCTTAGAATGTAGAGCTTATTTCTTCAAAAAACTCATTTCAGTCATTCAAATTTGCAAAATGTTGAAACTCTTCGAATTGATCAAACTCAAAAAATCTTTCTATTCATTGCCTTTGAATTCTGAAAACTTATTAGGTTCTTTGGATTCCTTCACTTCTTCGCAAGGGGATGACCCCAAAGCCTCATTTTTCTTTTTCTCTTTTTCTGTCTGGTTGTTTAGGTTATTTATTTATTTATTTACATATTTTTTACTTATTTATTTATTGTTTTGCATAATGTTTTTCTGCCTCTGCAGAAGGTCTTAAGGTGTTCTATACTACTCCTATATTTACCTTACAAACTAGGAAAACTGCAGGAAAACCTAATTCGAAGTAGCCGGCAGAATGCTCGAAACTGGTAAGGAAATTTCCATCTCTGTCACAGATGAAAAATGCTTACCTTAGTCCAGATTCGAACACCCGACCTCCGGCTTTATAGCCTAACGCTCTACCATTGAACCACAAACTCGAATAGCAGATGGCTACTTTACTTTGGTGTGAAAGCAAGCTAAGATATATACCTACTGCTAGATATGGAGATACATACATTGAATTACGAGTATAAATGTACTTAGGTAATATTGTGGGACATTGATATATGCCCTTGCGGGACTGAATTTTACATAGAATCGGGTGCAATAGAAACGAAATGCTAAACATGGGGGGATACAGGGGCAACAGTGGGTTTACTTACTCCCCATTTTTCATGACGAGCTTCACGAAAGTAAAACGATTGAGAGTGAATTTATCCACACAAGTTCAATAAACCAAAAATGCAGCTAGGATTGCTTACAGTCTAGAGTAATTTTAATTAGACTCATTAAAGTCCTTTGTTTACGCACTTGTAAACACTCTTATTTATTTTATGTACACTACCAATTTATTCCCTGAAGTCATAGTGGGTGGCCTTTCCTATAAGGCGTATAGATGTCCTGTGAAAGGTCACTAATTGGAGCGGCCTTAAATGTAAGACAAACACTTCATTGCTCGGCCTCGGGATGTAGCGTCTCTAAATATCAAAAATCAACACTCGTAAAATTTCTGGAAGATTAAAAGTGATTTACAATCCGTAAAGCAATTCGTCATGTTGACATCGATATCTGAAATCCCTGCATTATCAAGTTTTTCATCAAGCCGCTATCTGAATAGGGTCTAGATAGGTAATCCTACACCATTCGCGTGCATATCAAAAAAACGTCTAAAAACGTCTGTGTATACAGCTGACATGTGCCCAACAATTTAGAAATAATATATTTTAGCAGTTTACAATAATTTGGTTTAACCAACCCATAGAATGAGGTAATATTTCCGACTAAAGGAATTAAATAGTTTTATGGGTTTATCTTGTAGACAAATCCCACCTTACAAGGGAGCTATAAATTATAATCGCGGTTTTTTTACAAAGGACAGATTTCTCGGGTTTTCTTAACATGTATTTAGGTATTAACCTAAGCCTTTAAGTCCCGCAAATATGGATTTAGTAAATTGCACCACGCTGATAAATTGATTAAGTAAATCCTATCAATTATGAGTCGATATTACTTTTATTAGGGCATTTATTTTTAATTGCGCCGCTTTTATTTATTTTTATGATTGTTAACAATACCCCTCGCGTGTAGGTATTCTGTGAAATTTCCACGTGCATTGTAATGGAGGGAGGTGAAACCAATCATGATACCTAAAGCGCCGACACTAATTGGTACATCAGGTGGAAGATTATAGGTAAAATGATCGGAGTATATGTAAAACCAATCGTATAATAAATACCGACTAGGAAATGACGTGTACGACAACTTGTGGGGCCTTTAAAAGCACGAGTCTCCACTTTATCAATCGGGCACAATTATTCACTTACCCTTTGTCGGTTAATTATTAAGAAACTTAATAATTGGGTCACTATAGTATAATTCAATTATTTCAAAATCATGTTTTCTTAATCTATTGCAATAAAATTAAATACCGTTTAACTTCTCCGTTGGGTTATCCGATGAATTTTGATTCGTTGAAAGGTATCTAAGGCCGCCAGGTAATAGTGGCGAACTCCATATGCTTCTGCAGTACGAAGAGAAGCCCGCAGCTGGGTATTCCAATGAAGAGTTGCTTTCATTTCCGATTCCTGAAATAAAATGAATAGTTAAATAAAAACGTTTACCAATATCGTGTATTTACCGACAAACGGGTGCGCACACTTTAAAAACTTACCGCCACCTTTCGTCATTTGCATGTACATCTACGTATTTGAGTCCTAAAAATAAGCTTTGGTAACATCTTAGTTTTTATCAAAGTTCTCCCACCCACCTGTACTTAATTGTATTGAGTCAATAAACATTGTAAATGCGTGCAATCATTGTCAGAATTAATGACCCTTGAATAATTCGACTTTGAGATTAGTGCACCCGCCCTCACAATACTTTGGTAAAGGTTAAGATGATAATTTTTGTGAGGTCTACTTGTTGGTCATTTTTTATGATAAGTATCTGCATAGATTCCGTCAGTGCATCCAAGGCCCCAGAGTTTTTGATCTCCACAACGGCACCGCATAAGAGTACCTCAAAATTAAGTGGGGGATTCTTCGCTGACCTTTCAAACCGAAACTATGTGTGTTGTGCGCCGCATTTCTATATCGCGTAAGGTTTGATGTTCAATTAAAGGTACGAGACAAAACCGTATAACCGAAGTATAAGAAAAAATCGTCAGCCGCGTAGGTGTACGTGATACTTTATTGCGAAAGTTGAAGGAAAACTGGACCGCCATTTCGCCAAAATTATTGTCGTGGGTGCGTTTTCAATTCATTATGAGTTGCCATTTGAGCAAAACAAATAATAAGCAGCGTATTTATGCAAAAAAGGAAGTTCGTCATGTAGTGGAATTTACCGGACGGCTGATTTCTATTCAACCGTATACAGTACAGTGCGAATACGTAACTTTCTTAATATATATATACAGTGTGTCCCAGATCGCGTGGAATTGCACGGTCAAATTTCTTATTATTAAAGATAGAGAATTGGTTAAATGGGTAATGTTTTGCAGTTTTTAATGCTTATTTAAGATTTGCTTGTGAAAGTTCAAAATGTACAATAAGTTGGACATAATTTTAGAAAAACCATAATTGGTCTTTTCCTTGAATGTCTTATATGAATTGATGTAAAAAAAATTCGAGATGGCTACTTTTGAGGAACATTTACCATGTTCCTAAACTTAAATAGGCGCCATATTGGATTTTTAGACTACTTAATAGATTTTTAAAGTCTCTTTTCAACGAGCTGTCATAGCATAAGATTGAAAATAAGACACCAGTTATATCAACGGTTTTCGGTTTTTATATTTTAATCAAGTACTTAGTCCGTGATGAATTAAAAAAAAACAAAACAAAATCTATTCGAGGCGCCGGTACCGAAATCGGTTGTGCAAGTGTAGAAGATATAAGGCCGTTTATACCGCAAATAATATGAATATTGTGGTATAATTACTCAAATGCCCAGGAGTATTGGCAATTTGTAAAGGTCCAAATGATGAAGTTCTCTTGAACTGGCTTCCAAGATCTCTGGACATCGCCCTCTGTGACTTTTTTGCGTTGATACATCAAAGATGTGTTGTGTAAAAACCAAAAATAATGACGAATATTTCAATTTAATAAGTAAATGTGGAGGATTATTTACGAAATAAACACAACACAGTTTGTTTCACTTGAATTTGTATTTGAGTGTTTGTTCTTCCTTTTAAATTGTTCAATTCAGGTAAGATGCTTTAACATCTGGTCAAGTACCTTACAGTTTACAGGTTTTTATTTATTTGTTTGCGATAAGTACTGTTTACCAGGCAAACGTTAATTAATTTCACATATACGAACAATTGCGTGGAAATGGGGACGTTTTTAGGGCGTTCCTTCGAAGCTGGCATTATCAAAGCTATCGGGGTTTGGCGAAGTTTTTGAAATTTTGTTAAGTAAGATTGTAGTGTGGGTGTCGTGTAGTAGAAGTGATGGTCCTTGAAATACTGGAATCAACGACGGTTGAAAGTACATCTTTTTACGCTAAATTTTTGGGCGTTCAGCGAGGTCTTTATTTAAAATTCTCTATTTATTTATTTAAAGTGATTTAAAAGGTTTTGACCGTCCGAACAGCCATCGACAATTTGTTACCTTATTTACCAGTTTTGTCTGTCATTTAATTTTATGTTTGAAAGCATAGTGTGTTAACGTTAACGTTCCGTTAAGGCTGGACAGTACACCCGTTTCGTTGGCCGAAAATGCTTGATTTCGTTCCACAATATCTGAATTCTGAGTGAAGATGCGGAAGGGGTCGAATATTCCTGTGAAAGGTGAATGCATTAGCTAGACAATAACGCTGGTATTTCGATCTTTTTTAGGGGTAATGTCGAGGACTGTAAGGGTGCCATATATTGAAAAAGAAAAAAGGAAACAAATTTTCCTGGCCTAGATATTACCTTTACGAACTTATAGCAATTTTGGAAATTGGTCCAACTTCATTTATAGATAAGTTATCTGGGAAAGAGTTTACCTCAAGAGACAATAGGCAAATTTACATACTCCGTTGTGTATGTACTGCCTTAAGCGTGCAAATGTTAATCATTAACTCCCCATAATCGTTTAATATGTCTTCATTAAACTTTTGTTTTATTCCAGGGATAGCATTGTTTCCGATACGAGCGTTAAAGTCTCCCAGAACTATCATTGGTTGGTCCTGTGTTAGCCATTGAATGGTATCTTGAAGCTGGTCATAGCAGGACTCCCTTTCTAGCTTTAGTTTTTTGTCTTCAGATGCGTAGATTCAGTCCAATGGTCAACATTTTTAGGGGGAATGTAGCCACAGTTGCGAACATTTTTTTGATACTTTTTATGGATTGCTAGTGGTACTCCGTCGTTTGCTCTCTCGTGTTTGTCTATTTCGCTGTATATGTATTACTAGATAGTCACCTGCTTTTGGCCCTTTCCCTTTTTCTTGTTGCAGGCTCACAGAATCAACACTCTGCCTCATAAAACCGGATGGATTCGCACATTCGGTCATGCTGCTGGAGTTGAGCATAGCAAAATCATTTAAAATGAAAAAATCAACTTTAAAAACAAAATGCATGACATCAAGAGCACCATTATGATCTAAAGTGGAAATTTATGAGAAAATTATACAGCAAAAAATAAAATTTAAATAGGTATCTCGGCATATCAATTCCAGGATACGGTGATGTCGAGGCGAAAGTGAGGGAACAAACACAAAAAGCAACAAGAATAGCAGGATGTCTAAACTATATAATATGGCGAAACAGAAATATGGGAACAGAAACTAAGTAGTCCAGAATGTGTAAAGTCGTAGATTAATCATGACATACCTATACAGCTGAAACCCGGCCCGATACATCGAAAATTAAACAACTTTTGGAAACAACCGCAATCAGGGTTCTGCGTAAGCTGAAACCCGGCCCGATACATCGAAAATTAAACAACTTTTGGAAACAACCGCAATCAGGGTTCTGCGTAGGATAACAGTCAAAACACTTTTCGACAGATAGGAGTGAAAATGTGAGAGAAAGATGCTAGGTAGAAAACATAAACGATTAGGTGCTGAATAGAAAGATGGAATGAAATTAACACAACAACAGAGTGGATGACCTAAGAATTGAAAGTATTTTAAGATTTCTTATTTTAATTGTCGACCGCCTGCGTGCGGGTAATATGTCCGAATAGGGTTTGTAAGCTTTTTGGGATTTTGTTTTAATTCTCTCATGTGTTTCGGAACAATTATTGTCATTGTCACTTAATTAATGGTGTGTTTATTCGATTACATAGTGTGATTCAAATAGATTTTTCACGATTTTTCTATTCGTGTCCAAGATTTATTTCAGAGACTAATCAAAATTTGTGTAATAAATTCTTTGGAATTTCTAGAAGTTATTCGAGGCTACCGAGTGCCTCACTACTACCAGATCTTTGTATGGGCATAGTGCCAAGATAATATTTTCTACAGCGGATGAAAACTGTCTCACAATGACGTTTACTAACTGCTCTTCTCGTATCCATGGCTTCTCAGGTGTTGTTAATTTCATATCCCCTTTTACTCCTGTTCTAACCATCAGACTTCTTTATGAACACATGTTAAAAAACTTCAACATTTGCCCATTGGTATATCTGCAATAACGCTTCTTCCTGCCCCACAGTCTTCAATTTGTAGAGTTACATCCATTTTTTCCTTTCTTTTTTCAGCAATTTCTTTTGGCTTCTGTGTGTTCTTAGCGGATTGTAGTTCTATCCCCATTCAAATTCGTTCATGGGTATATTTTGAAAATGGGATTCTTTCAGGTCTTCGAGTCCCAAATACGATACAGTGTATTTTCTTCTTGTATTGGGACACCTCGATTAGCTTTTTTGAAATGGAAAAAAGATATAGAGAAGTAAAACAATAATGTTTATTAATTAAATATATAAATAAAAAAAAGAAATACAATAAATTTAAAAACACATGCATTCACTCTCTGTGGGAGAGAGTTAGTACAGCCCTGTACACTGTACATGCCTGTTTTATGCAGGCCCATGTTTGTGAGGAAAACAATTTTCCACTGAGCATTGAAGAGTTGTTTCATTGTCCCTAAACAGCAAATTAATCTAAAAACGAACGAATATCTTGAGACGTTTTAAAAGTGTTTGTGTACAGATGGTAATTAATAGCAACATTCGATTTCACTACCCCTCCGTAGTAAATAAATTTCGCAATTGCTGTTCAAAACAAATTAATTTAAAGTTGGGTAATAATAATAATATAGGTAAATATATACCGAAAAATTGTAATTGTGCGCTTTCCTTTCTTTCCGAAAACTTGCAAGGGGACTATTAGCATTGTTTAGTGGCTTTGAAACAAAATTTGCAAGTAAACCAATTAGAACTCTTTCTAATTTTATCTTGCAGAGTTTTAATATTTGTTCATCATTGTGGGTCCACCTAGTACTGCAATGGGCTGTAAACGAGCTTCAGTCCCTTGGAGGAATTGTAAGCTCATTAAAGCTCCCCGGTCGGGATAGATGCATCGTTCAAAAGAATAGTCTACAAATCCCGTCCAGGAATTATTTATTATTTAATTGCTTTCTATACTGCCGCACGAAGCATTA